TACTTGGAAATGATATGCAGCTGCCGACCTTCAAGTTGTATTTTGAACAACTGGCTGTTCACCATGTCATCTATTGCTGTGATCCTGGCCATTCAGTGCCAGGCAGTTGAGGTTACAATGTTGTTTATTAATATCCAGGATGATGGTGTACCCCTCAGTCAAGTTTTCATTGTTTTCTTGGTATGGAAAGGTGGTCCCTCATGAGCTGAGTTAGCTAATTATTCCTATTAGGCAATGCTTTTTGATTGGCTTGCTTGGGGAAGAAAACCACGGAATTTGATTTGGACTGAATGGAACATAAGAATTATTGTGGGCTGACAAGGCATGCAAGGTGTTCAGATGTTCGATTAAATTCATTCACAGGATGTGGATGTTATGGCAATGCCAGCATTTAGTGCGCATTCCTAACTGCTCTCAAAGGTGGTGGCGAGCGGTCTTCTGAGAAGCTACAGTCTGTGTAGTTTGGGTGCACCCAAAGTGGTATTAGGAAGGAAGTTCCAGATTTTGACCAAGTGACCGTGAAGGAGCGGTGATATAATTCCAAGTCAGCATGGTTTGTGGCTTGGAGGGGAACTTGCAGATGGTGATGTGCCCATTTACCTGCTACCCTTGTCCTTCAAAGTAGTAGAGGTCTCAGATTTGAAAAGTAATGTTGAAGGACCCTTAATGAGTAGTTGCAGTGTACATTGCTATCAGTGTTTTTTAGTGATTGAGAAAGTAAATGTTGAAGTTGTTAGGTGGGTGCCAGTCAATCAGACTGCTTTGATGGTGTTGAGCTCCCTGAATGTTGTTGGAGCTGCTTTCATCCAGGTAGAGGCAGAGTATTTCATCCTATATCAGACTAGGTCTTGTAGATGTGGACAGGCTTTGATTCCATGAATTTCAACCGACAATCTTTCTTAGAAACTTTGTCAAATGCTTACTGGAAATGTTTAATGGTAATATCTGTAGATGTTCCCTTAGGAAGATGTATTAACCTTGGATGGGTCTGCAGTATCAATTCACTCAAATGATTCTTAGCATTCCAGAGTCAAGCAATGGGAAAATTAAACAAACTGGTCATGCTCCCTAGAATTTAGAAATTTAAGGGGTGATTTGATCAATGTTTTCACAGTATTAAGGGAAACCAGACACAGCAGATTGCGAGAAACTATTTCTGCTAGCTGACTAATCTACTTCTAAGGTCCACTGTCTTAAAATTCAAGCCAGACCTTTTGACCCTTCTTGTAAAGAGTGATAGAAGTTTGGATATCTCCTCTGTAAATGGCAATTGACATGCACAAACATATCAAATTAGGATCAGGAGGGCCACTTAGCTCCTCAAGCCTGCTCCACTTTTCAGTAATGTTGTAGCTGATATGACTGTTACTTCAACTCCACATTTCATCTACCCACTAACCTTTCACTCCCTCGCTAATTAAGAATCAATCTAATGTTGTCTTAAAAACATACAAAGACTCTGCTTACTGCCTTTCGAGGAAGAGCATTCAATAGACTCAGGATCCTGTTCAACAAAAAAAAATCTCATCTTTGTGTCAAATAAGTGGCCTGTTATTTTTAAACAGTGGCACCTAGTTCTAAACTCTCAAGGGGAAACATCCTTTCCAAATCTGCACTGTTAAGACCATTTAGAATTTTGTATGTTTTAATCAAGTCATCTCTTGCTCTTCTAAATTCCAGTGGATGTAAGCCTAGCTTAATAAACCTTTCTCCATCAAAAATCTGCCCATTTCCATATGTTAGTATAGTAAACCTTCTCTGATCTGCTTCAAGTGCACTACATCCTTCCTTAAATAATATGCATAATATTCCAGATGCGGCCTCGCCATTGTCCTGTATAACTAAAACATATCCTCTCTACCTTTTTGTTCTAAATTCCCTGCAGGATAATTGGTAACACTTTGTTAGTTTCTTAATTATTTGGACCTGCTTACTAGTCTGTGCATAACACCCAGAACCCTCTACAATCTCTCAGCCTTTAAATGATATGCTTCTTTTTATTCTTTCTACCATAATAGACAATTTTGCACATTCTACTCCATTTGTGAGATCTCTACCTACTCAATTAACCTGTCTATATCCTTTGGTGACTTCTTTGTAGCCTCTTCACAACTTACTGTCCTACCTGTCTTGGTGTCATCAACAAATTTGTCAGCATACCTTTAGTCCTTCCATTCAAGTAATTTAAATAAATTGTAGAACATTCGAGGTCCCAGCATTGCTATCTGTCGCAAACCGCTCATTATATCTTGCCAACCAGAAGATAACCCATTTATGACTACTGTTTCCTGTTAGCTAGCCAATCTTATGTCCATGCCAAAATGTTGCCTCCTACACCATGACCTTTTATTTTCCCCCAATAAACTTTGATGCAACACCTTATCAACTGCCTTTTGGAAATCTTAAGTCCAGTAATTCTGCAGCAATGTGGTTAGATAGTCAAAAATATATTGAGTATATTGTGCATTGATTGGTCCAAGATTCTTCATCTGAAAAGTACATGATCCTAATGATGAGTTGGATATTCCTTTTATTATATTGCACATTTCTAACTGAACTTAGAAATGACTTTGGTGGCAGAAAATAGAAACAGATTTTTCTTGGGTTCTTCATGGTATAATGTTGTTTAAGCAGTTTTCAAAAATGCCATTGATTGTGTTTTACATTCAGGTGTACTCCTGTTTGGACCTCCAGGCTGTGGAAAAACTCTTATTGCCAAGGCTACTGCTAAAGAAGCAGGTTGTCGGTTCATTAATCTACAGCCTTCCACCTTGACAGATAAATGGTATGGGGAATCCCAAAAACTGGCTGCAGCTGTTTTCTCATTGGCTGTCAAACTGCAACCTGCCATTGTCTTTATTGATGAAATTGGTAAGCATCTATAATTTAGGTTTTGCTATTTTGTTCAAGGTCTATGATGCACTATAATGCTAATATAGATTTTTAAGATATATATGGTGCTATCTTTCTCATATTCCCCCATAATTTATGCTGTTGCTAAATTGTCAGTCCTCTTCAGGTCTGCTGTTGTTATTCTGTACGATCCTATAAACTTAAGTTGTCCCTGAATTTCACACCCTTACTGGCTGCCTGATCCCATAAATCTGATTAGGAGCAGGTTATCAAAATGTCACTTATGCCAGTGTCTGATCACATTCTCTTTGAATTGAACCGGATTGGTAAATATATCCTGTATTTCTTTGAAGGGAAGAGGAAACACTGAGCAATTGAAGAGTAATGGCATCGGGCAAAAATAATAATGGTGCAAATGAAGTTGGAATTATTCACACCATTCTCTGACTCTGACCCAGAGATTCTGCAGCCTTAACCATGTCTATCTTGCAGTCCTATGCTACTTGACTTTAATTACTTTGATGTTGAGTCAGAAATGTTTGTGTCTTCCGGTTGATTTTTCTCTGATATATTTACTTGCTACAACTGATTCTTCTCCAAGTTTGCCTGTGACTGAGCAATACCAGAAATCTAGGTGCGTGCATGATTAAAGGAGAAAGAAAGTGATGGGTTAAGTTATGGTGAGGTGGGATGAGAGCATAAACGTTATTGTAGACCTGATGCGCTGAATGACCTCTTTCTATGCTGTAAATTCTTTGCAGTTCATTAAAATGTTTGCAGTTGTCTTTATTTCCAAGTTTTCACCAGCTCCTTTTCTTTGAGCCACAAGTCCAACATCGATTATTTTATGTTTGTGTGGAATGTCTTGCACGAAATCAATGTCTCTAAATCTTCCGACCTTATTCTAATCACTGCATCAGGGTTCTGGTTTGACAAGTATCCCCTTGGGTACCAATCAGTCTTTAGTCCCATTAGTTTCCCTGATACTTTCCTCTAGTGATAATTGTTGTATTTATTTCTTCTCGTCTACATCTGCCCCCTGATTTTTACTATTTTTGGAATGTGATTTGTGTCTTCTACTGTGAAGACTGCAGAATATTTATTCAATTCTTCTGCCGTTTCCTAGTTCGTCATTTTTATTTCCCCAGCCTCCTGCTCTAAGGGACATATGTTTACTTTTCCCTCTCTGTTCCTTTTTATATGTTTAAAATAGCTCTTGCTGTCCTAGTTGATGTTACTTGTAAGTTTATCCTCAATGCTTATTTTCCCCCTCTTATTTTGCTCACCTTTTTGCTTTAAAAGCATTCCCAGTCCTCTGGCTTACCACTAATCTTTGTCGCACTTTATGTTTTTCTTCTTTGAACTCGATGCTAGCCTTAAGATCCCTAGTTAGTCGTGGTTGGCTTATCACCTTACTAAAATTCTTCTTTCTCACTGGTATACACCTTTGTTGTGATCCAGAAGCTATTTCCTAAAACATCTGTCATAATTCCACATCTGTCTTTGCTGCTAAACCCCTTTCCCTGTCCACTCCACCTAGCTTTAACCTCATTCTTTTGAAATTTCCCTTATTTAAGTTTAACACAATTGTTTCAGATCCAAGTTTCGAGCTCTCAAACTGAATGTTAAATTCTACCGTATTGTAATCACTGATTTCTAGGGATCTTTTACTTTTGAGATCATTTGTTAAACGTATCCCATGAGACATCACCCAGATCCAAAATAGACTGATCCCTGGTTGGACCCACAACTTTTTATTCCAGGAAACCATCCTGAATGCACTCTGAATTCTTTAGGTGGCTTCTTCTGCTCATCTGACTTTCCCAATCTACATGAAGAGTAAAGTCACCCATGATTAATGTATTGCCGTTTTTACATACCCATTTTACCTCCTGATTTATTCTCTGTCCTACAGAGGCTACTCCTGCCTACTGTCATTACCATTTTTGTTTCCCTTTCTGACCCTGTTTACTGCAGTTTTTCTTCTATATTTGTACACTCTGCCCCTTTCTGTCCCTCTCTTGGGTATTGTTATCCAAATAGCTACCCTGTAATGCTGCCAAATCCTTTCACTTTGTAAGCCACATTTCCCCTCTCTCAAACCCTTCCCCTACCTCTAATTAGTTTATAGCCCTCTTTACAGGCCCTGTTGTTTGATTTGCCAGACACTGGTTCCAACACATTTCAAGTGAAGCCTATCCCATTGGCACAGCTCCATTCTTCCCCAGTACTGATGCCAGTGCCCTATGAACGGAAATGCATTGCACCAACATCTAACTTTGTGCCATTCATTTGTCACCTTGACTTTATTTACCCTATGCCAGTTTGTCCATGGCTCTGGTAGTAATCCAGAAATTAGAATCATAGAATCCCTACAAGCCCTTCGGCCCAACAAGTCCACACCGAACCTCGGAGCATTCCACCCAGACCTATCCCCCTATAAACCCACCTAATCTACACATCCCTGAACACTATGGACAATTTAGCATGGCCAGTCTACCTAACCTGCATATTTGGACTGTGGGAGGAAACCGGTGCACCCGGAGGAAACCCACGCAGTCACGGGGAAAATGTGCAAACTCCACACAGACTGTTGCCAGAGGGTGGAATCGATCCCAGGTCCCTGATGCTGTGAGGCAGCACTGCTAACCACTGTGCCGCCCCAATTATTTTCCACCACCCACTGAAATTCCTCTCACAATCAGGAAGAGAGCTCTCTTCTTATTTGCCTTAAGCTCACAGTTGTAGTCGACAGGATTCAAAACTGCACAGGGACACCCCAATGGATTTCAAGTCCATCGCCTTAACCACTCTGCCAAGACTGCTGAAGTACTGAAATTATTACCGTGGAGGTTCTGCCTTTCAATTTAGCTCTTAACTATTCGAATTCTTTCATCAGAATCTTCTTTCTAGTCCTATCAATATCGTTGATATCAACATGGATGATGACAACTGGATCCCTCCCCTCCAACTCCAAGTTTTCCTCCAGTCTAAAGATATCCTTAACCCCAGCACTGGGCAGGGATTCCCACTTATGGCTGCAAAGAATAGGCTGAACAATCCCCTGCATTGTACTGTTCCTTACCACTGTTACAGTCCTATTTCCTCCTTGCAATCTCCACTCTCATCCACACAGCTTGAAATATCTTATAAACATTGGACACTTGCAGGGCCTGAAAAATCTTCAAATGCAACCAGCTGGGTCCCCATACCTGCCTCACCTCAGTCACTCTCTCCTGTCCCTGATTAGCCTTCAAATTTGTATTACCTAGTCTGACAGGTGTAAAGTGTCCCTGATGTGGCACAATTTGGATTCCAGCTCCTCAACTCAGTACTGAAGTTCCTTGAGCTGCAAACACTACAGATGCATTCGCTGTGGGTCACCTTGGCATCAAGCAGGAACAGGTCACTCATCCTGCCATTACTGTAATATTTACTTACTTTATAAATGAATTACACTCGATTCCCTGTGCTTTACACTTAAAGCGCACCTGTCTCCCAAATTCTTATTTGAACCAGATTCCCAGTTCATTAGCTCAGCTTTTGTCTGATTCCGATGAAGTCTTTTACACACTGAAGGTGCACCTTATTGAGCCATGACCTTATTTTTTTCTCTCGTTAATGGGATGAGGATGTCACTGGCTAGGCAGCATTTATTGACCGTCCCTAATTGCCCAGAGGACAGTTCAGAGTCAACCACATTGCTGTGCATCTGGAGTCACATGTAGGCCAGACGAGGTAAGGATGGCAGTTTCCTTCCCTAAGGACATTACTGAACCAGATGGGTTTTTCTGACAATCGACAATGGATTCATGGTCGTCATTAGATTCTTAATTCCAGATATTTTATTGAATTCAAATTCACCATTTGCCGTGGTGGGATTCGAATCCGGATCCCCAGAATATTATCCGGGTTTCTGAATTAACAGTCCCACGATAATACCATTGCCTCCCCATTGAAAGATGGATCTTGAGAAGCCAAATTGCTGACTCCTATCTTTTAAAGTTTTTTTTATATGTATTATCAGGCTACTGAATGGGTTTTGCATATTGCAATTGTTATATTGGTAATTGAATGCTTCACTGATGTAACTTATTTATAACAGTTTGGATTTTGTCAATGAGTTAATAGAATTAGCAATAACAGTTTCAGTTTGAGGATTGCTGTCAACTGTTCAGCCATTTTTTTGGTTGGTATTGCTAATCTAAGTCTTTGTCTTGGTATTGCTGATAATACATATTTGAATCTCTCACTACTTGTTTGTGCCATCTATTTTAGAACTTCTACACACTTTTTTAGAACACCAGATGTTCAGTGCTGTCCTTGCAATTTAACATTGTTTTTGGCAACTTACACAAGGAGTTATGAATTAATCCTATGAATTATGAATGAATAATGCAACAACTTTGTCTCACCCAACACCTGTATTGACTGAGAACAAGATAATGATCACTAGATAATTTGGCTCAAATCCATTGAAGCCAACTAGAATTTGGTTCGTGATTATTTGGTAACTTTGATCACAAAATGGCATTTGATTAATGAAGCATAGATAGTGGTCATATTAAGCTTATGCTGATATTGTTTGTAAACAGATGACTTTTGGTTTTTTTTTCCTTTTTGTATAACAGATTTGTTCTTCAATGTTTTCTGTTCAAATGAAGGGTCTCATTCAGGCAACTATTAATTACATGACACAAACTCATCATTCAGTGCTTGCTGCAACAAAAGTGCACTGCAAAAGATCGTGGGGTTTGAGCCCAGCTTAATGTTCAAGACTAGTTATATTTAGCTTGTCAATCTTGCATCATCCACGTGAGTTACAACAATTCAGTGTAAGGTTATTATTTCAGTTTGAGCTTCTTCCCAGTACTTTAGTCTGTTAACAGCTGCAAGACAAATTGTGGAAGCAGAACAAGTAGCAGGCTAAAACTAGAGTGGCAGGATGGGAACTTGAGTCAGAAAGCAAGAATGAGTGAGATGAAGATGGAAGTTAAAAAAAAGTAATATAGAAAGTTAAAGTGGAAGGCAGAGGAAAGCAGTGCTAGTAACAAACATGGCTTCAGTACAAAGGATTGAGCAAAAATGTCAAAAAGTCTGAAAACACCGGATCTGAATGCACAGGGTGTTCACTATTAATTTGCTGATTAATTAACAGTGCAAAAAACTGTAAACGCACATTTGATATGATAATGATTACAGAGACAAGACTCAACATCTAAGGGTGTTTGATGTTTAGGAAGAACAGACAAAAAAGAAAAAGAAGATGGCTTGACACTGTTAATCAAAGATGAAATCCACAGAGGAGAAAGGCTAGTGACACAGAATATCTAAATGTGGAATGAGTCTGGGTGGCACTAAGAATCAAGAAATGGTGGAAAATATGTGAATTGTCTATGGATGTCCTAACAGCAGTGATAAGGTTTGGAATCAAAGTTGAAGTAGTGTAGTCTGAAACTGGGGTGCAGAATATAAAGCAAAGAAACTGCAAAGGCATGAGGGATGAGTTCGTTACGATACGCTGGATAACTTCATTAAAAGGCATGACAATGACAGGCAACTAGTAAAATTTAAAGAGTGAGTACATGCATTGTAACAGTTACACATTCCTTTTGGGTGAAAGAAGACTTACAGGAAAAGTGAGCCAATCATAACAAACAAAATAAGTTGGGATCATACTAGATCAAAGAGAAGTCATTTAAAGCTTGCTATAAAAAGTAGCAAACTTGGGCTGGGAGCAGTTAGAATGCAGCAAAGGAGATCCAAGAGGTTGATTAAGAGGAATGAAAGTAAACTTATAGAAAACATAAAAGAGAACAGTAAGCTTCTACAGTTACGTAAATTGGAAAATATTAGTCCAAATAAATGTAGGTTCCTTGTAGTCTGAAACTGGAGAATTAATAATGAAGAACAATGAAATAGCAGAGCAATCAAACAAATACTTTAGTTCTATCTTCATAGAAGAAGACACATAACTTCTGACAAATGCAAGGGAAACAAGGGTCTATTGGGAAGAAGGAATTGAAGGAGACGAGTGAAATACAAATAATGTTGGAAAAACTAATGGTATTGAAAGCTGGTAAATCTCCATGACCGGATCATCCTAATTGCAGAGTACTAAAGAAGGTGACTTTGGAAATAGTTGAATGGGTTGGTTGATGTATTCCAAAATTCTGTAGATCTGGAAGGGTTCTGGTAGATTGGTGTATAACAAATGTAACCGCACTATTTAAAAAAAGGAGAGAGGGAAATAACTGAGAATTGCAAACAGGTTAGCATAGCATCACTAGTAAAGAAAATGCTGGAGTCTGTTATAAAGAATATGTTAGCAGGATGCTTAGAAAATGCCGCCAGGATTAAACAAAGTCAGCATGGATTTATGAAAGGGCATCCCGTTTGACAAGCCTAGTGGAGTTTTTTTGCTGATATAACTAGTATAGATGGGGAATAACTGGTGGATGTGGTAGGCTGGTTTGCAGATGTTTCATTGCCATACTAGTTAACATCGTCAGTGCGCCTCCAATGAAACTTTGTTGGTCTTCCCCGCTTGTGATTTATGTAGTCTGATCTGATATGGTGGTTGGCCTCATTTCTGGTTCTGCTTCGTAGTGGTTGGTACATGGGGTCTATTTCCACATTGTTGATGGAGTTCCGGGTTGAGTATCAGGCCTCTAGGAAATCCTGTACATGTCTTTGGTTGGCTTTTCCAAGAATGATTACGTTGTCCCAGTTGAATTGGTGGCCTTCTTTGTCCAAATGTGTGGAAACGAGTGATAGTTGGTCACGTCTCTTTGTAGCTACTTGGTGCTTATGTTCCCTGATAGCTAGTTTTCTCCTGGCGTGTCTGATGTAGTGTTTGTGGCAGTCCCTACATGGGATTTTATATAAAACGTTGGTCCTGTTATCTGTGGGAATGGGATCCTTTGTTCTTGTCAGTAGTTGTCGTAGTTTGTGGGTTCGTGTGCTACCACGATTCTTAGTGGTTGGAGTAGTATGCCGATCATCTCTGATACGTTCTTGATGTATGGCAGGGTGACTGGTGTATCCGGGCATATTGTGTCTTCCTGTTGTTGTCTGTTGCATAAATATCAGTGGACTACGCTTTTTGGGTAGGCGTTGTTTTAAAAGATGCTGTGGAGGTATACTTCTTTGGCTTTGTTAGGTTCTGGGGTGCTGCAGTGTGTTATGGCTCTTTTGAACAGAGTTCTGATGCAGCTCTGTTTCTGAGCGTTGGGGTGGTTGCTGCTCTAGTTAAGTATTTGGTCTGTAACGGGTGGCCTTGCTATATATGCTGGTCTGGAGCTCGCCATTGGCCCTTCATTTGATCATTGCATCCAGGAATGGGAGTCGGTTCTCTTCCCTGGTGAATTTTATGCCGGTGAAGGTGTTGTTAATGAGTTGGTGGGTTTCGTCCAGTTTTGTGTTCTTGATCATGACAGATGTGTCTTCCACATAGCAGACCATAGTTTTGGCTGGATAGTGGGAAGGGCTGCCCGTTCTAGTCTTTGCATTCCTGCTTCAGCTATAGGTCCTGATATGGGTGATCGCATGGTCGATTTGTTTGTACAGGTGGCCATTGAAGACAAGTGGGTCGTGAGGCGTAAATCTAGTAGTTTGAGGGTGCTGTCCTAGCTGATGGTGTTGGTGTTGTAGGGGGTCAGCATTACTGGTTCGTCCAGTAACGAGGCTAGTGTTCCCTTAGCTGGGGGGATGTCGATGGAAGTAAATAGTGCTGTCACGGCAAAAGAGATCACGATCGATTATTTCCCTCTCTCCTTTTTTTGAATAGTGAAGTTACATTTGCCATACACCAATCTGTCAGCACCCTTCCAGGTCTACAGAATTTTGGAATACATCAACCAACCCATTCAACAGCACCACAAGAGCCCTGTAATGCACTTAAGTGAGGTAGGAGTTGAATGTCCAGTCCGCTAATTTGTTATCTGATGCATTAAGAAATCTGTAGTTCTCGAGGGGTGGGGAAGACATGAGCATGGGACAAGCTGAATTGCTTTTGCAGAGACCTGGCATGAGCATGATGTACTTGCCCTAAACATTCTTATGTTTATATGTTCCTTTAGATGTTGTAAAACTTGAATGGGTTCAGAAAACACTTACAAGGATGCTACCAGGGTTGGAGAGTTTGAACAATAGGGAGAGGCTGAATAGATTGCACCTATTTTCCCTGGAATTTTGGATGCTGAAAGATGGCCTGATAGAGGTTTATAAAATCATGAGGGGCATGGATAGGACATATAGACAAGGTCTTTTCCCTGGAGTGGGGGAGTCCAAAACTAGAAGGCACAGGTTTAAGGTGAGAGAGGAAAGATTTCAAAGGGACCTAACAACAGGCACCTTTCCACACAGAGGGTGGTGCATGTATGGAATGAGCTGCCAGAGGAAGTGGTAGAGGCTGGTACAATTACAACATTTAAAAGGCATCTGGATCAGTATATGAATAGGAAGGATTTAGAGGGATATGGGCCAAATGCTGGCAAATTGGACTAGATTTATTTGGATATCTGGTCAGCATGGATGAGTTGGACCAAAGGGCTTGTTTCAGTTTTGGTAATTTCTTCTCATCTTGATGAAGAACTGATGCTCCCATATGAGAAATTGGTTATGTTGGTCTGGTCCAATCTTCAAAGTTTGAAAAAGGTGACAAAGGAATAAAGGCATTAAATTTCGTGTAAATATTTATTGATGAGAACATTCTATACTTCTCCCTTAGATTCCTTCCTACGAAATCGGTCCAGCTCTGATCACGAAGCAACAGCAATGATGAAAGCTCAGTTTATGAGCCTCTGGGATGGCCTCGATACAGACTTCAGCTGTCAAGTAACTGCAGTATTTTATTTTGATGTTTTAGTAAGCTGCATATTTTTGACACCTACAGGCTTGACTTGTCCAGCTTATTTCTTGCCTGTTTCCTGTGCTCCATTCTACATGCCCACTCCTAATTTGTAACTCTATTTGCATGAAGTTTTGCTCTCATATTTCCTATCCTTACCTCCTTAACAATGGTTCCTCATTCTTCAATGCATTGAACTTAAGATATCATTCTTGTCTACAAATCCTCCTTTTGCTCTGCCACATCTTTTGCGACTATACTACCAAGCTGCTTACTGATTCATGTTTACTCTAAACATGCGTCTAGTGATGTTTTTGGCCATCTCCCTTTCCTCTTCTATTGAGTAACATTTTCCATTTCCTGAAGCGTATTGGGACTTAGCAATCTCATGTGTACAGTGTATTACGGTACTATTCCATGTATCAAAGTGATAGTTTATATCCTTGAGCATAATGATAGATCTACTTTGTTAAAGCTTTCATGTTAGAAATAAATTTCCATGAACATTTACTGTTTGGCATCATTTGACAATAAAACAAGATACTGTCACATCCTATATAATACCATGGATTGTAGACTGAACATAATGAGTGAAAATGTTTCCCTTTTTATTTAATAAGTGTATAATTGTCCAGATGCTTATGCTATCTGCTGATCATTAATTTACTAGCAATCATTGCTTTTTATTGAAAGCATGCTCCAATGTCAGCCACTATTTTGAAAGTAGCTTTTATTGCATCAGCATTCTAATTGTCCACAATTTTCCTCCACATGATTTGGTGTGAGAGTTTATGAAAGATTTTTTTGACGACATTGAGAGAATCTCTGCTCACGTGAAGTGTTGGCTCACTTAAATGATTATTATCCATTTATGAGCCTTCAGGATAAGTTTGGGTATTTGACCATTTGGAGGTCATAGTGAAGCTTTATCCTGACTTCACCTAACAGCCACAGTTGTATGCTTGTTGCAAGTACCCAGAGCGGAAAATATGCTTAATTTCTACTCCCATCACTAAAACATGGTCTTCTAGGTTGTTTGACTGAGTGACTCAGAGATAACTTGCTAAGCCATCGGGGAGACTCATGTAGGATTTTCTTATCATTTGAGTGATACAGATATGATGACTGGATGAATTACTTTTCAAAATTAATACTTGATATTTCAGCTATGGTTATTTACATTTGTCACTAATGCAGCATACCTTTGCATTTGAATTCCCAGCAAAAAGTATGCATTTGCAATTATTTTAGGAGTAAGAATGTATATCTAAATAAACTTCCCTTTTTTTGCTGTTATTCTCAACAATAATAAAATGATTATTTTAGATTGTTTAGTAAGCTGACACCACCCCAACCAACTGAATAATTTACCTGTTGGAGCTGTATTTTTATTGAAGGCTAGTAGTTTAGAGAAATGAATAGAGAATGCTCTGTTTAGTAACCATTACATCTATGCTGTTTTTATTCAAAATCCATGTTGTATCAATGCCTATTGCCTATTTTGTCAGGTAATTGTGATGGGTGCCACTAACAGACCACAAGATCTTGACTCTGCCATTTTGCGAAGGATGCCAACAAGGTTTCACATAGGGCAGCCTGTGAGTACAAATACAGATTAATGTTTAATATTTCACTATGGCCACAAGGTTAATTCACATTTCAGAAGTTTCTGCACAAATGTAAAAGGATAGCCTCTTGCCAAGGCTGAGATGACTAGGATTGTTGTTTGGATGGCCTTTCTCCAAGGCCCATGGAAGCTTTTTACCATGGTGAAAGGAAGAACTTGCCAGATGCAGATGGTGGTAAGGAGGGTGCAAGAGAGGCCAGGGGATGCTGGGGATGAGGAAGCTGCAAGAGGGATGCATGTTTTGAGTTCAGCCGCCACTCTATGCAGACAAATTTTAGTGGATGCTGTAGTAATGAACACTATGTCAATTGTTGTATTAAAGTCTGAGATACAATTAAAAAAGAGTAGTAATTACTTGATAAAAATCATTCACCTTTGTGCATATGTGACGGAATCACATTAGCTGTGACCTCTGTGGTGGTTGAATTTAGGGTAGTGTGTAGAAGTGCGTCAGTTATATTGAAAAATAAATTATTGCGAACTTATGCCTGTTGTCTTATGCCAACTATCAATGCCATCTAAGAAATTAAAATTTTCCTTGAGTGTTTGTACCTTGAACTTTAATGGTGGGTTGATAACTATTTAGGATATTAATGTTTTTCTAATTCTGCTTCTGTGAGAGTCCCAAGTACCCATATATCAACACAAATAAAGTGAAGTATTGTTACTACCCAAACTTTATTGCTTAATAAATGGGTTAGTGAAAATGAGAAAGCAAACCCACAAAATCTCAGGGGCCCTTGGATGGATTTGGGGGATATTTGATCCCTGGCCTTAGCTGATGTATCAGTAAATTAGGAGTAAACAGAACAGTAAACAGAAGAAGAAACAGTGAGCTAGAATTTGAGGATGGTGAAAAGATTTTTTTCACAGCTTTCTGTTCTTTGTGTCAGTAAGTGAACAAATCCTATGAACTGTTGCTGAGAACCTTGTTCTAAATAAAGGAGTAGATGTATCATGGGAGACGAGTGGTACCATTGGAGGATGGATCTTAAGTGCAATCCAGATAGATTTTGCTTCCATTTTTCTTGGTCGCAGTTGGTTTATAATTAAGTATTTAAATTGAGTTGCCACTGATGTGAAAACCTGTTTTGAGGCTGATCTGTTTACCATGGCATAAATTTAGATTGCATGGTCACACTTCCTTGAATATTAGGGAAAATTAAACTTTAGATATTTCCAAAAGGTGGAACAAAGAAATGTAGAAACATAGAATTTGGAGCGGGAGGCAGCCATTTGGCCCTTTTTGAGCCTGCTCTGTCATTCATCACGATCATGGCTGATCATCCAACTCAGTAGCCTAATCCTGCTTTCTCCCCCATAATCTTTGATCCCATTCACCCCAAGTGCTATATAGCCGCCTCTTGAATACATTCAATGTTTTGGCATTAACTATTTCCTGTGGTAATGAATTCCACAGGCTCACCACTCTTTAGGTGAAGAAATGTCTCCTCATTTCCATTCTAAATGATCAACCCCGAATCCTCATACTGTGGTCCTGGTTCTGGACACACCAACCATCGGGAATGTCCTCCCTGTATTTTACCCTGTCTAGTTCTGTTAGTATTGTATAAGTCTCAATGAGTTCCCATCCCCTCATTCATCTGAACTCCAGTTTACTTGGTAAGATCTCTTATCTTTAGATACTTTCAGTCCAGTTTGTGGTAGATTAAAAACCCACATTTGTAAAACTGGCTGTGGATCTCATGAACCAAATTCACTCGGACATGTTGAATGTTGGCATTTTGGAGACAAAATATGAATTGACAATGACTTTTATGACTGGATGAGTAAATAATTGAGAGTCTGGATGTTTTACATCAGAAAAATGATGCAAATTGAAAACAATGTGGAAAGTAGGTCCAACGTGCAATAGAACCTTAATGTGGAGACATTGAGAAGGGGTAATGATTGTTTTTCAATCCTATGGCACAGATGGGACACTTGGATGCTTTGTCTTGAAATTTTCCTCTTTGCTACAGGTAGTTCTCCTATAACAAGATAGTTGCATTTTTGCGTGACCTCTCCCTATAGAAAATTGCCATGGGAAATTGATATAGAAAATCACTACACCTGTATAGCAGAAAGTTCGCATTATCCAAATAGCATCCGCTATTCATCAATTGCATTACAGCCAATTCATGTTAACAAAACCCGTGTTATAGAAGAACTATCTGTATACGGAGGCCAAGTCAGGAAATGGTGTATTCCTAGAGCTGCCACCTAATATTAATGTATAGGAAAATTATGGGAGGGTGTGCAACATTCTGTGTTCACAGATTTTGCGTTGCGAAATGGAGAGAAAATTACCCATGTCATTTTGGAGAAGTTGGAGTTAATTAGAAATGAAGGCATAAGAGAAGGTGGTAGCTTGCTTGTAGTTAGAAATAGGATTTGGTCCCTGACCAAGCCAGAGATTACCAACATGCAACATATTTACAAAATGATCATTATGGGTTATGTTTTGAGAAATAATGAACTCATTACTATTTCATTAAGCTTCTCCAATCTGAATGTTTCTGATGTTTGGATTTCATAAGATACTTTCTAATATGTGGACCACTTAGTCTTAAACACTGCTTTGCCAATTCAGGTTGTTTAGATGTTAATAAGGCACTTTCATCATGCCCATGTTATGAAAAGATATTGAAAAGAAATATTGAATTATGTTTGAGATTGTTTTTGCTTGGGGTTCAGTTACAGGTGGATGTATTTCCCAGGTAAAGGTATACAGGAATGATTTTTAAAAAGAGAATTTTTGCTTCAGAGCTTCAGGATTTTCATTGAACAAAACTATGCTCATCTGCATTTAAATTCAACCATGCCTCTGTATCCCTCCACTGTCAGGGAAGGCTATTTCCACAAGCATTTTCACTAATGATAATTAGCAGTAAAATATGTTTAAGACACCACATATAGGGTGGGGTAGGATGGACGTTTTGACAGATTGTGGTGAGATACATGAGTAGAACCGCAGGACGAGTTGATAATTGGCCAATACTGAAAAGTGTAAAGAGATACTTTTTGGTCATAAGGATAGTATGCTGTAAATAGTAACAATATTACAAGATGAGCAAGAGACCTTGTCGTGCAAAAGCACCAATCATGAAAGGTGTCTCCTAAGTAGACGAGGCCATGAAAATGGCAGATTATATTTTTGAATTCAGCAGCATAACATATAAAAGTGAAGTAATTGAAAGGAACACAATCAACAAACAGAATTATCTGTACTAAGTTTAACAAAATTGCCTTTCTCTGTCCCTGGGTAACAGTTGACAAGAACTTTTTTTATAATGTTATTGTTCTGTTTTCCAATGTTGAGGATACTCCTAAATTTTATGTTGTGTTTCACAGAATACTGATCAACGGAAATCAATCCTAAATTTAATTCTACGAAATGAAGAGGTATGTAGCTTGTAGTAGAAGGAAATAAAGTTGACTAGATGCTTTCAGTTGGCTTGCCAAACATTTTCCAAACTTGGGTTGCGTTAACCTTTTGATCGCGTACGTTGTTAATCATTTTTCCCTTCTAAGGCCACTCGTGACATTAGTTTAGAAATTGTATTATTTCTTTATTATCAGCCTATGCTATTTTTTCAGAAAAGAAACCATAGGAGTATTATGGCAATGCTACTGCACAAGTAAACTTGAGTCCTGGACTAATGATCTAGAGATGGTATTTTAAATCCTAAATTACTGGATTATAGCAAAGCCTATCTAGTTTATCAGTTTGCTTTAGGCTAGGATATCTGTTGTTACCTATTCCAGCCTAAAAGTAACTCCAGATTCACAGCAATGTGGTTAACTATTAAAGCCCTCTTAAATTGCCTAGGAAATGACACAATGGTATCAAACTGCCACAATAAACTGTAATCTATTTTAAGAGTGATCAAGTCCTCTGGCATTGACTTAGGTACAAGGTTTTCAACACGAAGACCAGTTGACCTGCACAGTCCTTGTGACCATCTGGGAACTTAATCCAGAATTGAGAAACTGTCTTACTGCTCGAGCAGAAGCCTGCATTCGCATTTAACAGCACAACTTATATCGTGGCTTGAATGCAGTGATATTTCCTAGACTATTTAATGGAAGTATTACAAAAGAAAATGGATCCCCATACCATATAAGGATATGAAGGCAGATCACTATATGCAGTGTGAAATAAATCAATTTTAAGCAGTATCTTAAAGGAGGGAAGCAAGGTGGTTGGGGGCGGGGGGGTGTGCAGGAAAGGGCTTTAGGAAGGGGATGCCAGTGCCTAGGACTGAGGCAGCTGAAAGTATAGCCACCATAGAGCAATTAAAATTTGGCAGGCTCAAGAAATAAAAATTAGAGTGCAGATGTCAAGAGGTTTCTAGAGCTGGAGTAGATTTGCCTGAATGGGTGTAGCAGCAACAATATTAAAGAAACCACCCTATTGAATGGCTGGTCCCTCCACCACTGACTCCTCATACTAATAATGTGTACCATCTACGAGATTCACTACAGCAACTCAAAGTTTATTCAACATCGCCGTTAGCACCTAGAATTTCAAGGGTTTCAGACACTTGAGAACTGTACCAGCTGCTCTTCAAGCCATACCCCCTTGTCAACTTGAAAATATATTGTTCTTATTTTATTGCAATTGCAAGAAAATCCTGGGACTCTCTACTTAACAGCACTAGTGGAATACCTACACTACAACTGATTCAAGAACTTGGTTTACCATCAACTTTTCAAGAGTTATTGGGAAAAGACAGTAAATTCCACTGATTCTACATGCATTGTATCAACAAAAAAATTGTAAGACAGCAATTTGAGACTTCTATGACCAGCATCTGATGAAAATGGAAGCCACTGGATAGTTTGCCTTCAGTAACATTGGTGCACATTGCTGGTATGCTATAACATCGCCTGTCCAAAATGCATGGGAACAAGCCATTTTTGGATTTAGTTTTTGGAATAATGGAATAACTTTAGCACTCCTTTACCACAATGTGTGAACCACAAAAGACCTCAGCTAAAATACTTAACTCAGGCCTATAATAGTGAGAAAAATTGTTTTACTTTTCCAAATATTGTACCAAATAATGATGCAAAGAGTTGCTCGAATCTGCTGACAAAGTTTCCAGACAAGTAGCATGTTTGAATAATAGATTTCTGGACTGGCAAATTTTGTATGTTCCTCAAATGATCCAGAAAATTTTGTGGAATCTATGACGGCACTGCTCATGTAGAACGGTGCTGATTATTGGTCATTTATGTCCTAGATTGCTTGTTCTGGTACAGGCTGTAGGAGTTCTAAACTTGGTTCAAATGCAGAGTAATATTTGTCTTGGTTGAGGCTGAGAAGCTAGCATTGAGAACTAATGTGGTCTGACGTATTTTGTTTTCAAATTTTGCATTGTCAAACAATATCGCATTTAATGAATTGGTTGATCTCTTATTCATCATTCCAGGTTAGCTGTTTATCTAATTATTCACCATGGGATCTCTTTCCATGCTATAATATTCTATGACGCTATCATTCCTTTCTCAAAAATCCGTCTTGATGGTTTTCTATTTCCATCCCGTTAGTCTCAGTGTGTCAAAAATCTCCTTTACCGTCTTCCCATTGCACGGTAAAAACTGCACTGAGTTCACCTCTAGCCTCTTCAACTTCTGCCAATTCCCTGCCCCCTTAATGTTTTCACTTTTAAATCCTAATGCTTATCATCAAATCCTTTGATTTGCTCCAGCTTTGTATTGCCTCTCGGTCCTTGCAGTCCTCTGGGTCCGTTCGTAGATCCCAAATGGCTTAAGGCCATCTCATTCAGCTTGTGTTCGCATACTGTTTAATATTACTCAGTGATGGTTCTGTTTACCACAAACCAGTTTTTGTTATTATTTTGGCGCTCAGTAGGGTATTTCACTCATTCTTCAAGGTTTAGATCACATTCATACTCGCACTCCTGAATTCTGTTTCCATATCTTGTCAATTGACTATTCACCCCTTTGTGACAGTTGTACAAGTTTAACTCTTTTCTTTTTTCTCCGTGAAAATGCACCATGTCCTGTTTGGTTGAATGATTGCTTTGGAATGATGGCTCACAGAGGCATTCAGTCATTGAATAGGGCTGCAATATTTAATTGTATCTGCAACCACACAGTCCCGATTTCCAGTTTAAAAATGCATCAGTTATTATCCTAAGCCAGTAATTTCAGAAATGAAATTTAGACCCAATCTAAAAGGTCTGCTGTTTGTAAACAGGTGGATCGATACTTGGACTTGAATGAAATTGCCAGGGAAACTGAAGGCTTTTCAGGGAGTGACCTGAAAGAACTCTGTAGAGATGCTGCCATGTTTTGTGTCCGGGATTATGTACATGGCTCCAATGAGGAGGAAAGGTTCGTGTAAATCAGATCTTTTTAAGGTGTCATTTTATTTTAGTGTAGTATCTAATGGATTTAGTTCACAGTCTGACAGCCGAAGGATTTCATTCGCCAGCTGTATGATAAATGTCAAAGCGTAAGTAAGGTGATGAGAAATTGGGTTACTAGCAATTTTGTTTAGAACTAACATACACATCCTGTCAGACATGCCTTCAGCACTGTTAACATCAGGGCCATGAATGTAACCACAGTATGAATTGGCAGATTGTACAATGCAAATAAAACAGGTTCTTCAGGCTGTGAATCAGTACACTGTTTATTGTTTTAATATATTTTTAATTGACGTTTAAACTTTTGAGGAGCTATTTTCTTTGAAGGTCTTGTACTGGCAATTTCAGTACATTTGTTATGCAAGTTAATGGTTTTTTACCAAAATTTAAAATTAACATTGAATCCTAGATTCCTGCAACTACAGTTTATGTTGGCTCCTTTTGTTTAAGAAGTTGTTATTTCTTAATTTAGATGACATTTAGAGGCTGATTAGTCATGTCATAGAAATGATTTTCAACATGGTGATTACTGCCTATGGTCCTCCCCACGCCCCCCAAAAAATAAACAGTTGATGCAACAATACTGATTCATGCTGTATACTATTTGGAAGAAGCCAATCACTGTTCAACACTGGGTGGGTTGGGAGAACCACTACTAAACAAGCTGGCCAAGTCCTAAGGGTCATAGATGTTAGATTGGGTCTACAGCAGGTAGTAAGAGAACCAACGTGGGAAAAATCTCCTTGACCTCATCCTCCCCAATCTACCCATCACTGATACATCAATCTGTGACTGTATGGATAGAATTGACAATCCTGCATTCCTGTGGAAACAAAGTACCATCTTTACGTTGAGGATATCCTTCATTTTACTGTGTGATCTAGAACTCCCTGCACCCATAATCAGCCTGTTCCAGTACAGCTACAATACTGGCATCTACCTGGCAATGTGGAAAATGGCCCAAATATGTCCTGCCCACAAAAAATGCAAACCCAGTTCAGCCAATTGTTACCCACAGTGTGACATCAAGCAATCCCAGCAAAACGGTAGCAAGTGGGATGCAGGATGATAACTGTACACTGGCTGGAGTCATACCTAGCACAAGGGAAAGTGATGGTGTTTGTTGGAGGCCCATCATCACTGCAGAAGTTGAGAATTTGCTTAGGATAATGTCCTAACATGTGCACATGCATGCACACACACCGCCACCCCCAGTCTTCAGTTGCTTTATCACTGATCTTACTTCCATCATAAAATCAGATTTGCAATCATCCACAAAGAACCCTACCAAGTTCAGCAGCATTTGCAATTCCTCCTACTGAAGCAGCCCGTGTCCATATGCAGCAAGACATGAACAGCCATCAGGAATAACTGGTATCAGGTACAATTGCACCCTACAATTGAAAATTATCACCAATTTCTAACAAGAGACAACCTAATTATTTTCTGTGACTCTCAATGGCATTGTCACCACTGAATCCCTCATTATCAACAGCCTGGAGGTTGCCATTGACCAGAAACTAAACTGAATCGGCCATATAAATATTGCAAGTACAAGGACCAGATCAGAGTTTGTTTGCTGTGACAAGTAATCACCTCCTGACTCGAGACAACTTTTCCACTATCTTCAATACAGTGTGATGGAATATTTTACACTTGCCTGGATGTATGCAGATCTATTAACAGTATGACACAATCTAGAGCAAAGGAACTCCATTGAACGTCACTTCCTTTACCATTAACCACATTGGTGACAATGTGGACTATATTACTATGCTCTTTCAACAGCATCTTCCAAACCCGAGGCCTGTACCATCTAGAAGCACGTGCTGCAGATAGCCAGGAACACAACTAGAAAGATTCCCTCCAAGTTGCACATCATCCTGACTTGGAATTATACTATTATTATTCCTTTACTGTGACTGGGTCAAATCTTGGAACTTCCTTCAGAATTTCTCTACTTCATTATGCCTACCCACCATTTACAAATTAAAGATTTATACCTTGCATCCCACCCCTCCCTACAAGCACGGTAAGGGTTCAAGAAGGTGGCTGACCACCGTCTTCTTGAAGGCAGCTGCAATGGGCTGTTAATGCTGGTTTAGTTAGTAATGTGTTCATCATGAAAGAATTTTTAGAAAGGATGTCATTAAGAATGAACACCTTCAGCAGTTGATTTGCAATCTTTCTTAATTATCTTCCTTCCTCTACTTTTTTTTCCTCATCTGATCACTTTTCTTATTACTTTTACTGGGTTTTTTTTCTTGTTTTCTTTCTCACTTACTACCTTTCCTGTTCTACTGTCATGGGAATAGCACACTGGAAATTGAGCCTCACTATTCCAAAAGTCATTGCAACTATGAGATATGATTAGTTTACCTTCTTGGGTGGTTAATGCCTGACTATGACCACTACCTAAGATAAAAGAAGCTTAAAACAAGTATCATCAATGAATGCTGAAATGTAAAAACTAGCATATTTTTTGCAAATTTATCCCCTAACGTGTGACAAAAAAGATTATTAATTACTAATATACAATCTGCAACCATATCCCCTTTAAGTCCAGACACACACATTCCTTCACACATAGGATGGACAGATGGATGAGACAAACTTCTTTTTAGGAATACCATGGGTAAAAAATGTACAAGATCTGTAGATCAAAGTCCAATCAAAAAGAGAAGATCTTTGTTGCTAGATATTTTTTGTTTTTGACAATGTTGTCATGTTAGTTGTTAAGAACAGGAGCAATCCCCAATTATGTGACCTATTAGTTGGACCTGGTTTTTGCTTGATTGTCTCTGTGTTTTATTTCTTTTCCAAAGAAAGAGTGCACAATTTCACTTGCTGCAGGCTTTTTGGAGGTCTATATCTCAAATGTGTGCTCTCTCTCTTTATCTCTGTTTGTCTCTCTCGCTCCCTCTTTCTTTTCTCAGTAAAAATTTTTGATATCTACTTTTTTGTCTTATAGTTGTATGCTTTCATTTTGCATTACTGTATTCTGCCACAAATGGTGTGCAAGATGTAAATCTGTAATTTAGAAGTTGATTTGAAGACTGAATGAAGTAGAGAAATGTCATTAGTTCCTCCACCAGCTTTATGAGTACATTTAATAAACTGCAACAGATGCAATATTACCCAAAAAGAGTGAAAATACTGTTTCTCTTTTCATTTTGCCAATTGAAACTCAGAATAGGATGGCGCCCCTGTCCTCCATTGCCCACTTAAAGTGGGTAGAATTGTATGGTTTGCATCCAGTTTGAGAACATTCTCGATCCACTAGTAGAAATTTTCAGCAACAAATAAGTTTTGCAGGAAAACCTGTTCCTGAAATAAATTGTCAACAAGGAATGCATAGAATTTTGGTCCAGTAAACACAAATTTCAGTTATGTAATGTTGATCTCATCCCATTTCTTATCAAGGCCTTGCTCGTAATGTATTCTGGTTAATTTCTGTGTAGACTATGCAAGTGTTTCTTTATTTAATATCTTTGTCACAACTGTTAATTGTCAACTTGTGTCTGATTTAATAGTAATGGGGACAGGCTTCGACCCATCAAACAGCAGGACCTCAAAAGAGCAATAGTGAAGATGCGAAAGTCTAAAGGAGTCAGTGATTTGAGCGAATTTCAAGACAACCTCAATGTAGATTGAGGATATGCTTGCCTGCCTAGTTACCAAGAAGGACAAATTCAGCTGAATTTTTACTGAATGACTTGGCTGGATAATGGCTAATTCCTCTGCTAAAATTGGGGAAGATAAGAGGTGGAAGCGAGGGTGCAGGGAAGGGTTTTTCTAATTGTATTTCTGTGAATTTAGTATCACCCATCAAGCATAGTTCTTTTGGGTCCATATTCACAGAAAAAATTTGTACTGAACTATTTGTGTAATTTGACTGGGGCTTGTGCAGATACATATACTAGAACTTTCTGTATATTGGTTCAAAATTGTGAATGCATTAGTATCATTGTTTAAGATTTAATATTGGAAGAAAACTACTTGAATAATATGAATATTTGGGCAAAAACTCAAATGGCTTTTTAAGACACAACGAAAGTACTATACTGACTGACTGCACTGCAATCTGCGTCATTTAATAATGAATCCAAGAGCACTGAAGAGCTCTTAAAAACTGAATAAGTAATATGAAGGAACTAATCAAAGTAGTTTCTGACATTTTGGTTGAGCCATAGCCATGTTTTTTTAATTTAATTATAAACTAGGATGGTTATGCTTTTTAATGTTTTTTTTTATTTTATGGGTTTGGTGTAAATAAATGTGTATTTCCTGTCAAATTTTGTATGCTTTCTGCTCATTATCATCTGCTTTGATGGAATGGAGTTGCCTACAAAATAATAAGGTACCTAACTAGCTATGACGATTATAATTTTTCTTTTAAAACTTTGTATATAACATTTTGTGCCCTTGAATGATAGAACTGAAATGCTTCTACAACAGCTCAAGTAGATATAATATCTTTATATGTATTTATGAAGAAAGGTTCAAAATTGCAATTTTTTTCCACTGCAACAGAAGTAAGGAAGGAATATCTGACAGATCTTTTCAAAACAAAATAAAGGATCAAGCTTTCCATTTGTCTGATTGATAACAAAGGCAGGACAATTACAATTAACAGAATAGGGATGTTTGTCAGAACCTTTTTTAATATAAGGGTCTTTAGAACAGAGATTACATTGCCATAAATGACCACAGGGACAAATAAGGTTATGACATTAATAAATGTTTGAGAAAAATATAATTGCACATAGGGGAAGAGCTGGCAAACGTATTTACTCTAGTGTCTGTTGAAGAGATTGGCCCAGATCTTTCTTTCAATTGCTTTTAGTCCACTGTCAGTCAGGGCTAAATTGGATAGAATGTGTTTAATTCAAATTTTATTTGGCAGGATATTTCTACCACAATTTTTTTTTTAAAAGACAAAGGTTGCTGTGCTATTATTTGAGATTTGTCTGCAGTAATAGTTAATTGTTGCATAGATTCACAAATTCTCACCTCAAGTTCAATTCCAATGACCTCAATATTTTCAAATTTCAATCTTAATGGGTAGACATAATGTTATATTTCTTGGTTTAAAATGAAGTTTTTTTTTCTATTCTGTAATTTATTATCATTATTACATTGCTAGTCATTTCAAATTTGGCCTATTGTAGCTTTCTGTCAAGTCTCTAGAAGGAATAATTGAGTTTGTATCTATACAGATTAAAAATATATAGAATAGATGTAGCTGGGAATGAATTTCAGTTAGTGTTGAGATGCACCTCAAACAATGTTTGATGTAAAAGTAGAAATTTCTGTCTTTGTGGTTTTAATGGATAGGATAAATCCTAATTAAAAGAGGCAACAGCCAACTGTATATCTTGTAGATCTGTATGAAATACCTTTTGTGCTGTGCTGGTTACTCTGTGGATGAACTATGCAGGTGGCCAGCTATAGAGACCTGGCCTACATCATCTTGTACAGTGTTGATGTCCTGTATATATATTTCTGGAGGTGATTCATACCTCTGCATAGCTGCTCAAAACACAACCCATTTTCTTTTCCCTCATACAACTATCTGTAAGATTTATATAAATTAGTTTAGCATTGCTTCCCTCAAATAGCTTTTTAAAAAATGTATTCCACTGATTGTCTAACATACCTAAACTATTAATCTTTTTTCTTGCCATATTAAGGTAAAGACAAAACTTTGTTCCTTAGAGGAAATATTATTATAATCCAGAGTCTTTCTAGAATTGTTTTAATTTTCTTCATCTGTAAAAGGAACTCCATTTCAAAATAAGTTTATCCATTACAGGCTGTATTTCGAATAATTTGCTATAGTAAGCTATTAAAACTATGCTTGCTGACTTTAGGTTGTAAATTAAGTAACCAAAAATTGGATTATACTGTCTGATATCTTGCTGGTACTTTTGTTTCCAACAGTGTGCTCTCTGTAAGTACATCTGGACTGTAATCTTAATCTGCACGCGGTGGTCTAGCATTATAGTACTATTTGCTGTGTGGTGACAGGTGAATATGGTCAATATTCCACATCAGTTTATTACAATCCCAGATAATTGTTGAGCCTGAGCTGCACTGATTCATACAAAGCAGAAAATAAAGATATAGTTTGTAGTTTATGGGAGGCTTGGACTGCTTATTGAAACTGTTACTGGGCTATGAGCACAAACAAAAATGTGGAAAAAGTGCAAGGGTAAGATAATGTGGAGAATACTACAAATTGCAGTCAGTACATATTTGTAAATAATTCCTGCAATCTAACAGTCTTTAGCATTGCTAAACAGAAAAGTTATTAATTTTTTAGAATGTTAACTGATAGAAAATTACTAAATGGGAGCTTCTATTTAAACCATCAAAAGAGTTAAACTTTGACAAGCTATTTGAGGAAGAGGAGGTTATGTACTGAAAGGAAAGTTATACAATCAGATATTGTCATGAGTTTTCTTTGGAATTTGTCAATAAACCTTTTAATGCACTGCAGAATGTGAAAATATACCATAATTTTGTGACCATTTTGTGTGCTTGCACCTGTAATAGACATTGCTTTAAAATATTCCAACTACTAGCAGATATTCTGTGGCATTTCTCACAGTGAAGGAGTGCACAATAAGGATGTTGTGTAACCTTGTGTCTTACACAGTATAATTTATCTGCTGTTGTTCTTCCAGAAAAATAAAACCAGTTGCCTTTCACAATTGTCTTGTTATTTGCTACTCTAACTCATTTTGTCCCCTTTTCTGTCTGCTTTTCACTTCTTTCGTTTTGTCCATTTATTTACCTATGATTCTCCCTCTTTATACAACTCATTCGCCATCAGTTTTGTTTTGATGTATATTTCATTATTTTATGCTTACGTGTTCCTTAACTCTCAAATTCCATATTTTATGTCTTGCCTTTTTAAAACTGTAGGATACCAGACAAGATTCAACAAAACCTGTGAAGAACTGGGCACAGATGCTGCTTGGTGAAAACGTGCAAGCTGAAAAAAATTGAGGATTTGAACGCATCTTTGCAGGAAATAGGAAGTGCTGGCTGGGAGAGTGGTTAGGTGAGAGTGACTGCTCTTGATATCAAGATGCCATTTGACTAAGAGTGACATCAAGGCACCTAACAAAACTGGAGACAAAAGGAATCGGGGAAGAGTTTCTGCTGGTTGGGGTTGTGCCTGGCACATAAGATAATTGTTGGAGGCCTGACATCTCACCTCCAGAACATCTCTGCAAGAGTTCCTCAGGGTAGATACTTCCATTCAACCTTTCCAGATGTATTATAACACACCTCTGGTACTGGTGGGACTTGAACCCAGGCCTTCTGGATCAGAGGTAGGGACACTAGCACTACATCAGAAGAGCCCTAGTTCCTCAGGGTAGAGTCCTAGGCTGAACAACCTTCAGCTGCTTCATCAGTGACCTTCCCTCAGTCAGAAGGGAGGAAGTTCATTGCGCAGTCATCAATATTCAGCACCATTTGTGACTGCTCAAAAACAGCAAGATCTTGATAATATCCAAGTTTGGGTTGAAAAGTGTCAAATAACATTTGCTGTAAATATGCCAAGCAATGACCCATCTCCATAAGAGACAATCTGACTACTGCCCCATGACATTCAGTAATGTTGCCATCACTGCGTCCCCTACTATCAACATCCTGGGGTTATTACTGACCAGAAAATGAACTGGCCTAGCCATATGAATATGATGGCTACAAGGGCCGGTCTGAGCAAAGAACACCCCTCCTCAAACCAAAGACTGGCATAAGGCACAATCAAGGAGTATAGTGGATTATTCCACACTTGCTCAGAAGAGTGCAGCTCCAAGAAGACTCAAGATCCTTATTGGCACAGCGTCCACTCCCTCCATCACTGATGCTCGGTAGCAGCAATCTGCAAGATGCATTCCAAAACTTCAGCAAGGGTACTACGATGGCACCTTCCAAATGCATAACTATTGCCATTGAGAAGGACAAGAGCAGCAGATATATGGTAACAACACCACCCTCCAGTTCCCCACCAAATCACTCATCATTCCGATTTGCGAATATATTGCTGTTCCTTAAGTGTCACTGGGTCAACATCCTGGAATTCCCTCCCGAACAGTATTGTGGGTCTGTTAACCACATAGACCGCAGCAGTTAAAGAGCAGCTCACAACCACCTCCAAGGGCAACTGGGATGTGCAATGATAAATGCTGGCCCTGTCTGCAACTCTTGACAACCCATGAGTGAACATTAAATAGGCAGTAGGTGGAAATTGTGAGGTTGTTGCCTGGCAGTGGCTACGGGGAAAAAAAGTATTTTTACAGCTTGGAAGCATCACAGCAGGGTTTTAGGAGCACAGAGACTATGGGAGAGAGATCAAATGGGCTTGCACCACTGTAATGTATCATAGGACATCTGCGGCCCACCAGTACTCCATGTGTGATAAAGTACTGGATCCAGTTGCAGTACTAAGGTTCAAAGCCCTCAGGTGTGGGGTGGCTAATAAGATCTTGCTTTCTATAGCATTTTGGAAGGTGAATCCTTCAGTTTTGTAGTATAACAGGGGATGAAGCTTTGGTATTTGCCAAGTTGATGGCAGGGGATTGTGTGTTGATGTTGCTGAGGGTTATAAGGTAGTGGATGAAGTTATGATGGTCGTTTAAGGTTATGGACAAGGTGGTGGGAATTGGTGAAGGGAAGATACTTTGCAGTGGTCAGTAATTGAAAGTGGCTGTGGCTATTTTATGAGGGCAGAATGTGTTTGTGGCTGGCCAGTTTTCAATGAGGATCAAAATTCATTTGAATGACCACATTTGAAGAAATGACTAAATGGTCAAACAACACACTTTTACATGACTGCTCTGAATTATAAAAATTTAGAGGTGTGTGCGTCCTGGATGATAAATAAAATCTCGCCTTTTGAGACTTCTCAAAAGAATTTCAGGCTGTGAAATTGAAGTTGAACACAAATTGAAACTTGTGCAATGTTTACATTATTGCAATTGAGCTGTGGATTTGATCTCTGAATTTCTCAAGCATTCTCTGCATTTGAGCATCTTTGGGACCCTTTTTTGTCTAATTTGGGCTACTAAAAATAATTAGTTGATGCCCAGAGTTATTGGTGTGGCATTGAAAATGGTAAAAAAAAAAAAACATTTATTTGAAGTTCCTTAAGTGAAATGTCTCAGAACAGTTGCACATAAAACTGTTTGGATGGAAAGCATGCATACATCTTTCATTTCCTGAAATGGAGGGCTTCTGAAAATAGGTGAAAAGTTCCATAATTTTTGGTCAATGCTATGTCAATTAAGTAACACATGTCAACACTGCGTCAACTGGATAATGCAGCTTTAGGCTGCCTTCAACCACTAGTGGAACAGCTTTCAAATTACATGGCATTGTAGACAACAACTTAGGAAAGAACAAATGTCAATGTCACTGTCACAAATGCATTTTTCAAATTTCCGATGGTGACTGACCTTTTGAAAGCATGTCTATACGTGCTCACTAATAATAAAACTGCCTTTTTGATGATGTAGTTACTTATCAATCATTCAGAGAACTGCTGAGGACCTGCGTTTCAGAAGATGGGTAGGTAGGAAGTACAACTCCTTTATTGACAAAGGAGACAAAAACAAGAAATTACAGGGCCGTTAGCTTAATGTCTGTCACAGGGAATTTGTTAAAAGGTAGTATTAAATAAGTTATAGCAGGACCCTTGAATAAGTTCCAAGATAATCCGGCAGAATCAACATGGTTTTGTGAAAGGCAAATCATGTTTGACCAATTTGTTGGGAGTTTTTTGAGGGTGGAACATGCTATGGATAAAGATGCATATGCTGTACTCAGATTTCCTACAAGAATTTAAGAGGTGCCCCATCAAAGGCTATGGTGGAAAATTAAAGCTCATGGTGTGGTAGGTAACGTATTAGCATGGATAGAAGATTGCCTAGCTAATAAGAAGCACAGAGGTATAAATGGGTCTTTATCAGCTTGGCAGGATATAGTGAGTAGTGTACCACCACAGTGATTGTGCTGGGACGTCAATTGTTTGCAATTTCTATTAATGATTTAAATGAAGGAATAGAAGGCATGGTTGCCAAATTTGCTGATGACGCAAGGATAGTTTGAAAAATAAGTTGTGAAGAGGACACCAGGAGGTAGCAAAAATATGTCAATAGGTTGCATCCACAAGTAAAGGTGTGACAAATGGAGTAAAATGTGAGCAAAATGTGAAATTGTCCATTTTGAAAGGAAGAATAAAAAGGAAGCATATTATCTAAATGATGAGATATTGCAGAGTTCTGAGATTTAGAGACATTCGGGTGTCCTTGTGCATGAATCACTAGAGGCTAGTGTGCAGATACAGCTAGCAGGAAAGCTAATAGAATGTTACCATTTATCACATGGGGGAATTAAAGATAAAACGAGGGAAGTTGTGGTTTAGTTTACAGGATATTGGAGTACTGTGCATGGTATTAGTCACCTCATTTAAGGAAGGGTGTAAATGCATTGAAAGCAGTTGAGACTAGATTAATACCTGGAATGGATGGAATTCTTTGAGGAAAGGATGGGCATGTTGGGCTTGAATCTGCTTCTTGATTAAAGTATATTAAATCCTGCGAGGCCTTGACAGAGTAGATATGGAGAGTAAGTTTCCGCGAAGGAGAATCTAGATCTAGGGGTTGCCCAGTTCAAACAGAGTTTAGTAGGTCTAGGTGGGAATGTGGATTTGATGTTACAATCAGATCAGCTGTGACTTCATTGAATGGCAGAGCAGACTTGAGGGACTGAATGGCCAACTTCTCCTGATTCATATGTTCCTATGTAGAAAAGTTCTCAATCTAAAGAGACTGTCCATCAGCATAAATCAACTGACACTGATTCCTGAGCTATGGTGAGAGTCTCTAACTTAAACATTGTAACTTCTAGGACACAGCCCGCTTGTGTTTGTTCCACTATTCCAACTACTCTGGAAATATAATTCACTCTATCTCCCACCAGAACTTGCTTGAATTTTAGCATTGCCATTGTATTAACACAGTATTTGTGCAGAAGCAATGCCAGCAGTCTATTCCTCGGTAAAACCTAGGTTGCAGGAGTGTTGCAGCTATGCTGTCCATGCTGCTTTGACCACTTATAATATTGATCAAAGTGTGATAATGTTTGTGCTGGGAGAGAGTTGTGCTCTTTACTGTGAGGTTAAACAAATGAGGACCTGTGATGTTGCCTTGAATTTTTCAATTTGCTCTTGTCGTATACTTCTAACTTTGTGGACATGTATTGCTCAAGAAGGACACCCTCTATGTGTGACAAGACAATACATCTTCAATCCTTTCCACAGGTTCTTTCAGTACAATTTTGCCTGCTGCAATATTATGACCCCAAGAAAGTCACAATTCTCTAAGTGGATGTATCACAAAACGGCCTAGGCACCTATATTTTGCAAGATGTGAAAATGCTCATTTGCACAAGCCAACTATTCCAATATAGAGCTTGAGACATTAGCTCGAGTATTTGGTATCATGTGGCTTTACATATACTTATTTGGCAAGAATGTTACCATAGAGACCGATAAAACAATATTAAATGATCTGCTGTAAACCACTAAGAGTGGCAAGTTTGTAGTGTTTTACTTGTTAAGGTCAAGGGGTAGAACTTTGCGGGGAAGTATGAGACAGGTACAAGGATGATTACATTTGACACGCAGTGCAAATTA